CGACTTAGTCGAAGCGTACAAGATCCTGAGGGGTTTTATGGACGTACCAGATGGAGCGCTGCTCAAGTTAAGTGAAACAACGAACCTGAGAGAGCACACTTTGGAACTGGTTAAAGATAGAGTGAAGACTCAGCTTAGAGCGTCCTCGTTCGCAACCAGAGTTGTGAATGATTGGAATAGACCGCCGGATGAAGTCATCGCTGCCAACTCGATAGCAGACTTCAAACGCAGACTAGACATTGTATGGACCAGGGTGTTCGAGGAGGGCGGGGACTGAATGGAACGGTTTGCATACAGCTGATTCGGGAGCATTATCCATTTATTGCTAAACCTCCACCATCCATGTCTTCCTCTCATTTTTGTTCACTCTCCTCCCAACCTCTCTAGAAGCTCTATGCTTAGCCCTTACTTATCCTTTTTCTCTATTAGGCACCTCTACCCCTTTACAGTAACCTCTTAGTCCCAATGGATGGTCTGGTCGTCTCATGGGTCTGCAAGCCGCAACACCATTCTTGACAACCCCCTCCGACTGGAGTCCTGCAAGGGGGAGGGGTTTCTCCTGGTCGTTGTATGCTATTCGTTTAATTGAAGAAGAGTTTTTCTCTTCCTGTTGTACATTGTACATTTGATCATGCGCACAAGCATGCTTCACGGGCTTCGTGAAATATACCATTATTATTATTATTATTATTATAACTGGGTCGTATAAGTAACAGCTTCCATGCTTACAGGTCAGACGAACCTGAGGGAATTCAGGGAGGTGGAGTAGTTTTGTTGGTCAGAGACCACAGTAAACAGGCACCAGTCCTGCCCACCTACGAATCCGAAAATGTCCAACTGGTAGTATGTTCGATAGGTTCTCCGGCAGTACTAAACCTAGTAGGAGTGTACCGAAGCGCTCGCAAGACGCCACCCGAAAACGTTGAGCTGATTAATGAACTTCTAGACCTGATAACGACTCCTCTCCGGCTATGCATCATGGGTGACTTTAACGCCCCAGGGATACACTGGGTAACCGAAACCAACGACGGCCCCGTCTTCGAAAACCAGTTACTAGAACTGTTACACCAAGGCCGGCTCCATCAGCACATCACGTGACCAACCAGATTTAGAGAAGGGCAAATCCCGTCGAACTTAGACAAACTGATTAGGCAGAGTGAAGGCGAAGTCCGAAACATTCTCCGCGGGAATTCACTGGGAAAAGTAATCACATCCTGATCTTGTTCGACCTTATGCTGAAGGTTCCCGCGCCGCGAAGTAGGTTAGCTAGTTTATAAAGTAAAACCAACCACGTCGCCCGTTTAAGAGACGCCCGTGAACTCAGTTGGGTTGCCGATGGCACACCAGCCACGGAGTCAATGTGGGAGGTCAACAAACAAAATATAATTAGATTGACGGATAGACGCGCCGTTGACAGAGTTAAACTCAAATGCTGAAGACCCGTTTACGGCCAAAATGCGTAAGGCGTTACGGAAACGCAACGCTGCCTGGCACATATATACAGTTCTAGAAACATTCGCAAACTGGCGGCAGTACACGGGGCTAAGAAACGAAGCAGTCAGCATATCGAGATTAGCCCGAAGTCAGTATGAAATAAAACTGGCAAAGGACATTGGAACACAGTCAAAAAGTGTTCTATAGATACGTCCAATCGCAAGCTAGGTCCCGAAAGGTTATAGGTTCGCTTATGCGTTTCGGGACAACAAGCCTAGCCACGGACCAGGGTATTGCAGACGCATTTAAAGACCACTTCCAGACAATCTTCCGAGTAGGGATGACTGTAAACAACCTAACAAACGTGGATATTGCAGGCCCATGCATCCCTAGCTGGGTCATAGAGCACGACGAGGTACTATCTGTGATCTCCGGACTCAACCCAACGAAATCCGCCGGCCCAGACAACCTGCACCCAGCGGTGGTAAAACCACTGGCACCGGTAATCACTGAACCCTTGACATCACTGTTCAATCAGCCTATGTTAACAGACATAGTGCCGGCCGACTGGCGCAGAGCTACGATTGCCCCCATCCACAAGAAAGGGGATGCAGTCAACATAGAAAACTATGGACCAATTAGCTTGACCAACATTGTTTTCAAAGAGATGGAGCGGGCCACTCCTCTTCTTCATATTTATCAACGACCTGGACGAGGAAGTCGCAAATCTATACCTCATCTACGCAGACGTCAAAATAGTCAACCAATACAAGACGACTTAGACAGGCTCTCAGCGTGGATGGTAAGATGGTATCTGCCGCTGAACGCAACCAAATGCTGTGTTGTAAGCAAAAATGCCCCGGAATCCCCCTGCGGTTTACACTCCCAAATCAAGTAGCTTATACTTTGAAACAAGAGGGGTGTGTCAAGGATCTTGGGATTACAGTCCCAGTTAGCTTTGCACCCAGCGAACAATGCACCGAAGCAGCCCACAAGGCCAGGAGAGCGCTGGTTGCACTCAGAGCTGCAATAACCAGCAGAGAAGCCTATGTATTCATCCCTCTGTATAGGGTACTCGTCGGACCCCACCTAGAATGCTGCTTTGGCTCCCTAAAGAGTAGTGGACGTAGACAGGTTAGAAAATGTGCAACGGTTAGCAACTAGAATGGTTGGCAAAACCAACGGGATATCCGACGAAGACCGGCTTCGGCACCTGAACCTCT